GCCTGCAGGGGTGCTGCCTGTGCTGCATCGCTATCTTTGGCAGGAATTTTTAGTAGCCAAAACTCTGTTGTGCTATTTAAAGTGACTTTTCCTTGTACCCCTGCACTATGGGCTGTGTTCAGTCTTGTAAGGTGCCATAATTTGGGTGAAAATGTATTTTTTGTCTATTTGGACTTCATCATGCTTAGCCCTGTTTTGACATCCACACTTAATGCTGCAATTGTATACAGAGAAACATTGAAAAATACCCCAAACAAATACCAGAGCTCCTTCAGTGATTGCACCTACGAAATAGATTTTCTCCCATTTTTCTGTGTGGTCTGGAGGGTGGAGGAGAGGAGTGGCAGTGCTGGCAGTGTGACCTCGGGCAAGGAGGGATTGGGCTGGGCTCATGAGGAGCTCAGGGCTGCACTGAACTGGAATTCTGTGTCAGAACAGGCTGTGGTGGCTGGGCTTCAGCAGGAACCTCTGATACCAGTCACAGCTGGTGAGTTTAACATCTAAATACAATCTTACTGCCCAAATAGTGTCTGCTAAAATGGATGAAAAGCTGTTTGTTTGTTGTTTTTTTTTTTTTAATTTGAGGATCGGGCTTGTAGCTGCTCCCTGGAATGATGAATTGCTGTTCTGGGTTTGAGTAGCAGCTTTGTGCCTTGTGTTTTTGCCCTGCCTCAGTCAAATTGGTCTGAGAGAGGGAGAACCACACCATACTTGAATAGCACCAATGCATTTCCTGGGGCTGTTCAGTGGAGAACAGCAATGAGCTCGGCTCCTTTTATAAACAAGTTCTGTTTGGCTGCAGGGACCCACTGAGGGAGAGCTGACTGCTTCAGAGCAAAGCAGAGCTGAGCAGAGGAGCTCAGTTTGTACCTGCTCAGGGTAGAGGGTAACCAGGCCACACATTCCTCAGCAGAAGGCAGACACCCCCAGTTCCTTCTGTGCCTCTCTCCTGTGATGAGACCCAGTCCCTGCAGCTCCCTCTGAGTTACACAGCAATAGCTCATCCTAGGATTGGTAAATCCAGTGAAAATCCTGCCTCCAGAACGGCTCAGGAATGCTGCAGCCTATGCTACTGCCTTCCTAATGCTTCACACAGTGGAGTATTTTGCTTGCTTTATGCAACCACTATTTATTATTTAAATGATGAATCTGGAAAATTTCCCAGATCTAATGTCTGCCCCATTGCTTTATGTCTTGGATACTGCAGATAATCAGATGAGCAGTAAATCTGCTCTGTGGAATAGAATTAATTTTTTTTTTCACTGTCAAACAACTTGTGAATTATTTTTCTTTTCTTCACTCCCATAAAGTACCTAACAGGTAAAAAAAAAATAAAAACCTGTATGCCAAATACAGAGTTGTTCCATATGTATCTCTGCATGGTGCATCTGCAGAAGCACCCCTGGGAGTGGATTTATCTTGGGTAGCAGGAAAGAGTGTGTGAAAGAATCCCTAGCACTGGTACTTTCATTTGGGTGGGTGAAGGGACATACTGTGGGGTGGTTTGGGCTTGTTGGTTGTATGTTTGGTTCTTTTTGTTTGTTTAGGTGGGGGTTTTTAGCTTTGTTTGGTTTCTGATGGCTGTTTATTTTAGCCAGGTTTGATTGTGCTGTTTCTCCATTCTCTCTGATTGTTTCTGACGTCTTTCCTGAATTTCCCTGGAACAAGACCACCCTGCTGAGCAGGGAGGGGATGTTTGCCAGTGGCCCTGGGTGTTGCTGAGCTGCTCTTGGGTCCTCTGGCTCTCAGCAGCAGCAGTGCCAGGGGCTCTGGGGCTCCTGGGAGGGCACGGGGGGCTCACATCTGCTGCCCCTCTGAGCCCACGTGGCTCTCCACAGTCCTGGCCTGTCCTGGTGAAGTGACACAGCCTTGGGAGAAGAGAAAACATGAAGAAAACTCCCTCCCAGGAACAGCCAGCTTGATTGAGCCTCCACACCGAGTGTGAATTACACCTCTTTCCTTGAAAACAGGAGAGGTTTTTTAGTTTTTTTTTTCCTCCCACCCCCTCTATGGTGATGAGAAACTGAAGGTCAGGAATGAGCCCCCCAAGGCTCATGAAGAACAAAATACGACGTGTTTTAACTGATGTGAAAGCTTAATGGGGAAGATCAACATCCAAAGGCTGCAGCCAAGGAAAGGGGGCTTGTTTGGGTACAGCCTGAAGCAGAGCATAGGCATTGCTGGGAATGGGAAGTGTGAAATGGTGGGGCAGGGAACACACAGCCCTTTAGCCCTGCTCAAAAATAATAGTGCAGGCTTTTTTTAACTTCAGAGTTTAGTCTGCCCTCAGTAAAAACAAGTTACATTAAAAAACTGCGCACCAGAAAAAGCAAACCTCTTTTTCCTGGTCTCTGCTTATAAGATTTACAGGTACTTAAAATAAACCTATGAAAAACAGACCCAGTGTGCTGGAATTTGCTAACTAGTGAGAGCAATTACCTCCAGGTCCCAAGACCTAACGGAGCTCGGCTTTTTGGAAATAAAACTTGGCAAGCACTTCTTCCTGCTGCTGTTGTAAAGGTGTACATGAAAAGATGTGCTGACCTCTGCCAGAAACCCCAGGAATCCAGTTCAGAGAGATTCTCCTGCGGAGGGGATGGCTGGAATCAGGCAGCACAGATGGGGACGGGTGTGGAGAGCAGCTAAAACCATTCGCTTCTCATTGTGTGGCTTCAGCGTGGCAGATTCTTTGCAATTGCCTGGTGTACCACAGTAATTAAATGGGTCAAGAGCAGTAAGTTCAGATACTTAACAAGAAAATAAAGACCTCACTTGACAGCCAGCAGCGGGCCGTGCTCTTCACAGGAGTAAGGAGAATTAGGGCAGGTTGTGCTGTAAAAGTCGATGGGAGCCTTTTTGGCAATGATTTTGTATTGCTTCAGAGATCACCTCCCAATTAACTACAAGTGCTGCAGTGGCTGGAAGTCAGGTTGTCTTATGAAACTAATGCTCCAATTTCAGATGTCCTAGAAAAGGGGAAACAATAGACTCTGTTTTTCTCCTTTCAGTGATATATAAGTAAGGGAAGATAAGAAAAGTAATGAGAAAGACACAGCCAACCTTTGTTAATATTGAAATGTAAAATACTCCCATTTTCACTGGACTGTTTCATGCATGAGGGGAAAATGAAGTTGTGCAATGAAATAAACATGATAGAAGTGAAATCCAAGATGGGAACTGATTTTTGTAAGACTTTCTGTTTTGGAGGGTAGAGGTAGTTTCACACCAGCATTTTGTAGGAAATTATTTGTTATTGTCAGTGCCCATCATTCCTGGCTGGGGAAGGAGCTCCTGTTTCCCACAGCAGTTTTAAAAGTCCTTTGGGAAGGATGAGATCTTCCTCCTAAAATATTAAGAGACAAGTAACAAGAATGTAAAAAAAAAAAATAAAACCCATAAAATGTGTTGTGCCACAAACGAGGAGCTTTCTGCAGACCACCTCCCCTTGCAAATTAAGAGATGGCACCAGCTTTGTTGCTGTGTTTGTAGATTCTTTTGGGCTGAGCACTATTAAAAGGGTTTATTTTATTATTACTTTGTGCTCTCCTGTCTGTGTCTGTGCTGATGGGAACCAATGTCTGGCAGTGAGAGCCAGATTCTGTCACAACTTGGTGCAAAACACCTCAACTCAGTCACAGGAGGTAAATTCAGTCTCAGCTTCAGCATCTCACCAAGAATCCCTCAGACACATTGCTCATGTCTGTGCATTGTGGTTATTAGGTGCAAGAAATAGAGTTTTTAAAACTGTAATTAATCATTTCTCAGTAATCTCTTTTTCTATGCTTTTATGGCATCAATGGGTATGACTGTTTATTATGTCTTACCTATAAAATCTGACCTGTTTTATATACTCTTTATGGAAACAGTGTACAGTCATAAATTAAAAGATGCAACTGTTTTGGATATTTTACTGGTGGTCCTGTATTTTCCTGCCAAAAGTGCAGCTGTTTTAGGTTTCTTGGGATAACATTATAAAAGGCTGTGTGCGTTTTGCAAGTTTATGCTTGGATTGCCAAGCCAGAGGTGGAATGACTCAACCTTCCCAGGAGCAACATGTACCAAGTGAGGAATCAAAACAGCGGCTGAAGCGCCCCTGTGGAAAGCTCTTGGTGTTTATGGGGCTGTGTCTGGTGGTCAGGATGGGAGATGGTTCTCATGCTGCTCCTGCTGGGCTCTGATCTGTCTGTCTGATGGGGTTTTTGTGCAGAACTGGTGGGGAATCTGCCTTGTACTTGTCTCATGGGGTGCAAGAGCTGTGGGGTTACGAAGCCATCCTTTAGCAGGAGCTCTGGGTGTGTGGCTGGGGTGGAGCCCTTGGAAGGAGCCAAGGGGAGCCAAGGGTGGCACTGCCAGCACAGGCAGCGTGTCTGTGTTTCCATGCCAGCTCCTGCTCCCATGTCAGCTCGTGTTTCCATGTCAACTCAACGCTCTGGAAGGTTTGGGGTAGAATTAGATGGTTCTGCAAATGGGTGATGATGCTTAATTAATGGGGAAGTTTAGAACCTTCTTTAGCCAAAATGATGGTGGCCTCCCACAGATGTAACTCCCAGGGTCAGTGAGCTCCAGGCACAGGTGAGAAGCAAAGGAAGCTCAGCCCTGTGGTCACCAGAACAACCAGCACAGTCAGCCTCGGGGAGTGTCTGGCATTAAGTGGCAGAGCTGAAACCTTCCTGTTCCTGTGGGAGTGCAGGAAAGCTTCTGGTGATGTCCTTGTCTTGGCAGGCCCTGTGGGATGGGGAAATGAGCCACCCCCAGAGTGGGCACAGAGAACACAAACCCCTGGGTGCCCTTAGCCCCGTGCCCCCAGAGCGCTGCTTGGGGCAGCCTGCCTGAAGGTGTGTCATTGCTTTAACTCAGGAAGTTTTATCCTGATGTGGGCAGTGGGCAGCTCCATCTCTTTGCTTTCTCCTAGAAAGCAGCCTCAGCCTCGCTGTCCAGTGAGCTGCAGGGGTGTCTGGTGTGTTTCCTCTGCTCTGAAATGATGTTGCTCTTTGCTGCAGGTACCTCACCCACGTTCGAGCCGCCTCTCCGCAGGACCTGGCTGGGGGCTACACGTCCTCCCTGGCTTGTCACCGGGCCCTGCAGGACGCGTTCAGCGGGCTCTTCTGGCACCCCAGTTAGCCAGGGACAGCAGCCTGTGACCCGGGACAGCCAGCGGGGCGAGGAGTGACCCGGGGCAGCATTGCCACCGTCTGCACCGGCCGGGCTGTGCTGCGTGTGAGAAACAGGGGAAAACCAAACCCCCTCTGCTCCAGAGCTTCCTAAAATGGTAGATACATTCTTGTGGAGGGGGAAACTCGTCAGTCATGTGGCACTTTGCTGAGGGAGGCTGAAGCAATAAGCCACATCTAATGGAAGATGTGAATAACTCAGCTGTGTATGTTTGAGGCTTAAAGAAATACACTTGTAAATTTTTTTTTCAATAAAGCCAGACTTTAATAAAGTTTGTGGTTTTACTCTTATTGCAGGGTTTTATTTGCACAAGCATTTAAATGCCATTTTGATTATAACATTTAGTGTCAATATTCAAGCCTGCATTTTCTTCCCATAAAGCTAGTTTTCCCAGTTTAGACAAGTGGGTTTTTCCTCCTGCCAGCTGGATGAGACAAGAAACTCTGGAAATATGCTGACACAGCTCTTGTGTGGGATCCTTCCTCCGTGTGCCACTTGGTTCTTACCTTTGCTTGGAAAAAAAGCTTTAGCTCAAGGTCTTTCAGCTGAGGTGCTGTAAAAGCAGTCTAAGAAACCTCGATACAAGGTGAAGTCACTGAAGTAGCCAAAATTGTGGGGTTCCCTTTTGGGGTTTGTTTGTTTTGTTTTGCTTTTGTATGTTTGCTTTTTCCTCTTTCTCTCAATTTGCAACGTTTTTGTGATAAACTCAGGAGTTTCTTTAGGTGGGAACTCAGGAGTTTCTTTGGGGATGATTCCTGCCACCTGATGTGATCCTTTTTGTATTCCTTGCCTGCTCCTTGTAACGGAGCCGTGACCAACTGCAGGAGGTGGAAGGTGCTCAGGACAGCCACCTTGGCCATGTTTTACAGGCCACCTGCTCATAGCTGTTGAATCCTGTTCTGAGGAGTGCACTAGATGGATGTATTTTTCTATGCTGTAATAAAGAGAAGAATGAGATCTATTCCAGACTTGGTGTTTTGTTATTAAAGAAAATGGGGGAAGATGGCAAAATTTCCACTGCCCTTTGAAATCCCGCTGGTTGTGCCCAGAACAGCTGCACACAAGGAATGTTACTGAAGGCAGAGGTAAGGAGATCAGATCCTTCCCTCCTCTGTTCTCCTTTCTCCCCTCTCCCAGGCTCACCCAGACTGGCAAAGATGCACCTCACCAGTGATCTCTTCATATTCACTTTGGAAAGCCCCAGGTCATATGAATGTCCCACGCCCTAATGAATGCAGAACTGCCTATGCATATTAATATTTGTAATTTCAATACACTCATTAACTTGTGTGTAGCTTTGCTATTATTTATTATGTCATTTCTTGTACACAGAACTGGCAGCTGCACAGAAAGCTGGAAAACCCCTGGTTATGAGCATAGTGAGGTATCTGCTAGACTGGTATCTGAAGTTATGCTGCTGGAATAACACTGGCCTTCAGTCCTTCAGGGAAAAAAACTTTTACCAGTTCAACTCCTTCCCCGCCCTGGGACCCTTCAGCGAAAATCAGAGTTACATATTTTACAGGCTTGGCCCAGAAACAGTGATCCAAGCCTGGTTTGGGCTGGTGCAGTGGTGCCAAGCCCTGAACTGGGGCTGTGGTGCAGTGTGAAGTCACAGGGACCACAGTCTGTGTCAGGCAGGATCCCAGGGTGGCTGCACCATTCCAGAGTGGTGGAGGAACTTATCACTCCAGCAGTGTTTGTGGGGGGCCCCGGAGAACAGGAGCTGCCTTCAGATGTTTATGGAAAGGGGGAGGGCAGCAGCTGGAGAGCAGCAGAGGTGTCAGGAGAGGGACAGAACCCCAGCACAGCCGTGCCTGGAGCAGAGCCCTCGCAGGCTGGAGCTGCAGGGTGGTGTTGGAGGCTGAGCAGGAGTGCTGGGGCTCGGAGCAGGCAGGGAGGAACAGGACAGGCTCCCTGGGGATTGATAAATGAGATCCTGCAGGAACCCGGCCGCGCAGCCAAGGGAAGGAAAGGCCGGCACACGGAGCCACCAGCAAAACAAACCCGTGGCCCTTGGTGGTGCTTGGGTGAGAACCAAAAATGCAGCAGGCTCAGGGCTGGGGCCACAGCAGCAGGGCCAGGAGGGTGACAGACATCTGGTTGCTGGGCGTGAGCTCAGAGCCTGGGCTGAGGGAAAATATCTGAAACTGAGAGGGCGAGCCGAGCTCTCCGGCCAAATAAACTATTTGTGGTTGACATTGCCCAACAATAGTTTGGATGGGTAAGAAAAGGAAATCAAAGGCAGAGGCTTTTCAAATCCCTGCAGAATACAAGCAGCCAGCCAGAAAGATCATCCAGGGACTGCAGCAGGGGAGCAGGCAGAGGTGGGGAGAGCTGGGAGAGGGCAGAGGCACAGAAGGCACGGGAGGACACGGTTTCAGGAGGACAGAGCTCTTTTTCAGGTGCTGGTTTCAGCCTGGAACTGCAATGTAAGCATGAACTTCATCTGCAAATGTGCAAAAGACATTAAAGTCTTTCTGGCTCTAACCATGGGCAAACACTAGTTGGGAGTCAACTAATCCCTAACTAAATCTTGGTGTTAGAAACAATTTTTTACTCAAAACCTCAGGATATTGGGCTATCTGGCTGTTTTGGTATCTCAGGTTAAGCTTTTGAAAGGTTACCTTGCTTACACAAGAGCTGTTTGTGCATCTGCTAACCATAATCCAGTATTCTGAAACCAGAACATCTGTCAGGGAGAATCCAGGGCAGGGGTTGTGTCAGTCACCTTCCAAGACCTGACAAGACATAAAAGTCTGTTCTCCCCACAAGCTGCACATTATCAAAATGCTACAGCAGAAAACTACCCCAGGCCCTGCCACTGAGTTAGCACAGGGCATGAAACAACAGAGAGCAGGCAGGTACCAAAACACATTTATTATAAGAGAATAAAGTTTTAATTTTTTGTAGTGGCAATGTCAGTCAATCCCACAATGAGAAGAAAAGGGGACTGCAGGAAGCTCCCAAAGAAAGCTGCAACTTGATGGGAACACAGCTCTGCTCCTTATAACTCAAGGAGTGAAAGAGAGACACCCCAAATATCCTTTACACAAACTAAGGTGGTCACCTTAGCTCTGGTCTTCAACTCAGAACCTTCTCTTCTGAAGAGTCCTGGCTGGTACAGAGACGTTTCGAGGCTGGTTTTGCTGGAAAAGGTTAGAAAAAGTAAATTATTTAATGTAAACACACTGACCTACCACAAGCTCTGGAAAAGGGAGCTCTCTTAAGGGATTTAACAGGAAGAGATGAGAGTTAAAATCAGGATTAACAGGCACAAATGAAAACTCTTAGAGCAATAATGGGGGGTCTTTACTGAAAGCCAAAAAAGACTCCAAAAACCTGTATGGAGCTACATTTTGACCTACACTTCAGTGCTACCCAAAAAGAGCATAAAATAAGTTTCATGGCATTAAAGATTTATAAAAACCTCCTTTCCTCCAGTTCATGTACCTGTGGATGAGAGCCTCCCTCTGCTCCCTTTGTCATGTAGTGCAAAGCCCAAGATCACTGAAACCAACAGTTTCTTAAATGAACAATTATAAACAAAAAAAACCAAACCCACACAACCAAATACTCCAAGGGTATGTGTGTCTCAGTTAAACTCAATCAGGCACAGAACCTGATTCTGCTGAGGTGGTGACTCCAGACCCCACTGAGTCTGTGTGAGCACAAGGAGAAGGTCAGAGCTGGGACCAGTCCCTTGGAAGTGCACTGATCTGGGCAAAACCACAGCTCCAGTTCAGAAGGACTGAGCTAACAGAGATGTGTGCTTGGCATTAGATCACAGAGCCACTGAATATCCTGCACTGGAAGGGCCCAGAGGATCACTGAGTTCCCATGCTCCCTCAGCCTCGACCTGAGGCATAAAGGTCTGGTTTATGGCCTGTGGGCTGATCCTGTCCAGTCCATCATTTTTCTGGGAGGCTCATGCTGGGATCAGAGGAGCAGGCTGCTGTTAGCAAAGCCAGGAAGCCCTGCAGCTGCTGCACACGTGTGGGTCCTGTGGCCACCTCTGTGCTCAGTGCCACATCCACGCCGCTGTCACACTCCTGGAGTGGCACACAGGGCTGAGCAGGTGGGACCAGCCCGAGGCAGCACAAAAATCCCAGTGGGATCCACCTGGGAGGTTTGCTCCTTACCTTCATCAGGGCAGGGCCTCTTGTAGAGCACGTCTGCTGGGATCTGGAAGCTGAGGCACAGCATCTCCTTGTTGGGCGCCACGTTCCTGACCAGGAAAGTGGAACAGCGTCCAGCCAGGGAGGTTCCCAGCACAGCCTCCGCTCGCTCCTGAATGTCTCTGGCTGGGTTGCTGTGTTTGGAGAACCCGTAGCAGTGCACAGTGGGGAGGTCAGCAGGGCTGCAGGGCTCCCCGACCAAGAGATGCCTGAAAACATCCAGGAACTCCACAGCCAGAGCCGGCAGATTCATCACTATGTGGAACGCGGGCTTCTGTCCTTCCCTCAGCAGCGGGAGCTCTTTGCTGAGCTCCTCCCTCACCGGCCCCCGCAGGAAGTCCCTGCCGTCCATGTTGAACGCCTTCACCTTGGTGTGCACCTTGTTGAGCCTGCAGTTGTGCAGCAGCCAGGCGTAGGAGTCGGGGTTGAGGTCGTTGGCAAACACTCGGCAGCCCCTCCTGGCCGCGGGGACGGCGAAGGGGCCGACGCCGGCGAAGACGTCGAAGAGAACGTCGCCGGCCCGCAGCAGCTGCACCACGCGGCCGTGCTCCGTGGACAGGCGCGGGTTCCAGTACACCTTGGAGAAGTCCAGCTCATAGGCAAGGTTGTTTTCTTTGACCTGCAAGTCCACAACATTTGCTTAAGCCTCTGTGTTCGAACGGCAGGCAGATTTAAGCATTATCACTAATTAAGAAAATTAAGAACCAAGGACGGTGCCTTATCGAAAGGTAACACACATCAGCATTGTCCACTGATAGCATACGTGAATCTCAAATAAACAGATCTTAAATCTTTAACAGATCACCTCCTCAGAAACAGCCATGTCCTCATTGTCAATCCTGACTCTATGCTGGCTTTAGGCAGGTCTCAATCACCAGGTGGAAATAAAGCAGCAACTTAAAATGACCCTACAAAAATCTGAGGGTTTTCAAGAGCTTTGTGGCTGGCTGACAACTCCTTTATTGAAAGCAGACCTTGGAAGGATGCCCCAAGCCCTGCTTTGTGAAGTGCTCACAGTAAATAAGTGTCTGAGAATGATAGGCCCAAGAACAGGAACCGTCAGCCAAATTCAAAGCCACTGGGAGCCAGTTCTGCAGCTTGGAAAATACTGTATTTCATGTCCCAAGGTGACAAGAGTCTGGAAGCTGATCCAAACCCAAGCTTTGGGATGACCACTATCTCAAGAACAGACCTGAAAAGGAACTGTCTTTATTCAGATGAGGATGGGATGCAAGCTAATACTCTCTCTGCACCAGCATGTGGAATTGTCTGATTCCAAAGTAACCTGGGATCCAGATCACCACATCGTTCTTTGCCAGCAAGAAACACCCTGAAGTGTGTCTGCACTGCTGGATGCAGCTCCATGGTGTCCAGGTGTGTGGTGACTCCATCTGCAGAATATTCAATTGTCACTGCTGCCTTGACCATCCAGTGGCCTTCTCTCTGCATGAACAGGATGTTCCACCAAGCTATTCAACTTTTTATTTGGAAATCTCATGTTTTCTCCTTTGAAAGTATAAAGCTGCTAACAGATAAGAGAAAATATTTTTGTGGAAGCAGTGGCCAAGTTTCCATGTACAGACAAGAAACCCTAAGTGAAGCACACTTGGCAGTTACACAGTGATTGCACCTGATAAAATGTCAGAGCAGAGGAGACAGGAGGTTTGTCTTGCTGCTGACAGCAGAGGAAAAAGGCAAAGGCAAAACGTTGCTCAAGTTGCAAAGTTGGTGAGACAGACTTTCCTGTACCAGCCACTGTACAAGGCTTGGTGAAATTAGGAAA